CATCTGTGGGACCACACGTCCAATCAAAAAAGATTCTCTTTGAGGTTATTATCGCTGGCAGCATTGTGGATGACTTTCCAGATGTTCATATCATCTGCAAATACGGTACAATCACAGCCCAACTCCTTTACATAATCACAGACGAATAAGAGAAAGGGGGTCTGTTCGAGCATTGAGCCTTGTAGGACTCCATCCTCTATGACCATACGCCTTGGTTGCTGATACTCCACGCAGGCAGTTCGGGAACGGCCGGCCAGGAGATTATCAGTCCATTTAAGAAGTTTGTGTCCGATTCTGACGACTCCCAACTTGTACAGGAGACCCTGGTGCGGAACAAAGGTGAACGCCTTGCGGAAATCAGTAAAGGCCGCATGCACAGCGTGTTTTACATCGACTGCTCTTGCCCGGTCTCGCATTCTGTACAGCACGTTCCTCACACATGATCTTCCCTTATGAAAGCCGTATCGTGTACTGGATAAGAGGTTGCGGATTTTCAAATAAGCCATCATCTCCTGTTTGACGGGTTTCTTCGGCACTTACAGCGGACCAACTGGTCTGTAGTTCGTCGCAAGAGCACGACTGCCGCCTTTGTGAAGCGGTGGAATGTGGGCCGTCTTCCAGTCTGCGGGAAGGATTCCAGCATCAAACGGTTTCTGGCACAGAAAGGATAGCGGTTTATCTAGCAGCCGGGTTAACTCAGAGAACAGCTTTGCTGGGATCTCGTCCAGACCGAGAGATTTACACTCCTTAAAGCTTTTTATTTCTTTGAAAATTGCTTCTTCTAGAACAAACCGTTTTCAATTAAGAGATCTCCTGTTGTCTCAGAACTAGGTAAAAAAACGCTTTTATATCAAAACAGATCGGTAAAACTGAGAAAAATGCGCAGTTTTGTTCGTACGGTTCGATATTCCCTAGCCGTCATCATTCCTCATGACAGGACTGAGATTCCTGTTGCGGGTGCTCTTTCTCAAGTAGTTGTGAAGCAGATTTGGATTTTTGATGGCTCTGTGGAACGAAGTACTCCCAAGGTCTCGGTGTCTCTTGAAAATGAGGCCTTCGCCTTCTTTCTTTGAAATTCATACTATGTAAACTCTGCATTATCGTTGTTTTTACGAAATATCTTCCACAGCCCTCCATTCTTGTTGACCTGCATTTTGAGATCTCGCGTTAACTATCGAGATCGGTTGGATTTCCTTGGCTTTGATAAGGGACAGTGGTTTTTCACTGGATGCAGCAACCGATTCTTAAATACATTCCAACATTCGTTGACGTTTCCGAAGAGAACATCCCAGATTATGTGCGATGTCTTAGTTCTCATCTGGCAAAAGTCCCCTTGGCATATTTTTGGTCTCGTCTTGTTTATTGCATACGGTGCAGAATATAGTTCGCGATCCCATAAAATTACTGCATGATTGCTTCTGCGGAGCGGAGATAGGCAGTAAACCTCGTTTATACTACCAGAATATTTGATGAGGGAGAGATCCAAAAAACTGGCCTGCTGTCCTTCACCCACTCTAGTGGGAAATATAACATGTTACGTGAGATAGGCTTCTAGTGCTGTATTTATGAGACGGGGATCGAATGTATGCTTCGAGCACTCCACATGCATATCGCTTTATTGAATGCAAGGTGAATTAATGTCCCTCACAAGTACAACGTCCAATCGACTACCAATCTCTTTTCTGCATCCCATCAGACTAGTTGCTGCCTCAGGGTCCATCCGCGGGGATCGGTAGATGGTTGCGACTTCGAGGGACTGCGGCCCGCATGCCTTTATTGTCAGCCAAATGGCCTCTGTGTCTTCGGTAATCTTGTCGGTCCTTCTACACACTGTTAAGTTGCTGTTTACACACATGACAACTCCTCAATTCTGGCGGTCCCTCCTATCTCTCCTGCCTCTGTCAGCCATTATGTTTAGTTCTAGTTTAGGGTGACGGACAGTCGACTGCTGCATTGGAGAGGGAAATGAGGGTGGAACCGGCGCTGAAGAATCACTCCTCAAGTCTCCTCAGCACATTTCCCACCATAGTATCTCCAACGCCCCTGAAAACTATAGCCATACATCATAAACCGTGGCTTGGAAGACCCCCAGCTGACTGGGTCAGCCGGTCCTTGTGGTTACTACAGTGCAGCTGTATGTCATTCAGTTGGTAGACCCCGTGATAAATCCGTAGCTTTTCACTTTGAAACTTATAGAGATTTAAACCAACTAGTCTACGAGACTGTGCTTTCCGTCTTCCTTTCTACGGTTATATCCTGACTAAAATCCGAGCTTAATCCGAACGGTGGCATCTCCGGCTTTATCCTATCATATCTGCAGTTGGAATCCCTCCAAAACCTGACGTATAGAAGGAAAATATGCTAACTTAGTTCATCACGGAGTACGGACTGTTCAAAAGAACTATTTTTGCCTTCTTTTGATCGTAATCAGCCGGTCGTGTGGAGTGACATCAGGTTTCTCCTTACCAGCCCGGAGTACGGCAACTGTGTCGGAAGTGCTACAACCTGCGTTCTGATAGAGAAAGGTCAGTTCTTCCCACCTATTCCTCTGTACACGAAGTACAAATCCTAAGAACGAGCTTAGGGGCTTCGTTAGAACAAATAAAGTTAGTAATTGTCCTTGATCACCGCGACGTTGGGTCCAAATCCAGGATTTGGTGAATCTGTGCCTGAACTGGTTGGCCTACCCTCTGGTTCTTCCATTTCTTTATCCACTTCGAATACATTGTCTCTGGATTTCTTTGTTATACCCCCTGCCATGGGCCTCTCTTTGTCTTTGTAATTAGGAGCAACCACCTCTTCTTCCCTCCGAAAATACTGTTTTGCCGACTGGGAAACATGAGCTTCTTATTTTAGGTGTTGCAGTCATATATCTGGCTCTCGGCCGAAAAAAACCCTCGACTGTAAGCTTATTCCTGGCCAGAAATCAATGATCTTTTTCACGACATTGTCAGGCCTTTGGAGTAGTTCCTCTTCTGTACGACCGACAACCAAAACATCATTCAAGTGGACAACAATCCCGGGAAAATTAGTAAGCATGGTGTCCATAAGTTGCTGGAATATGCTTGGCGCCGTTTTGACGCTATGAAATATTTAAATTAATTTCGGAATCTGCTTTTGATGTTAAAATAACCGCTAAGAATTAAAACCTTCCTGAAATAGACTGGGTTTCTAATATCCGTCCACCTATATTCCAGCCCTTCAAAGATACTGTCAGTTTTTCGAACTGGTCCCAACTGGTGCGCTCTCCGGCAAGGGATAATCACATTTTAGATCTAATCTTTACCAAAGACATCGCACCTCTTTTTGTTGCTTTCAAAAAGGACTTTCTATAGCAACAACGAAACTGACTGACTGTCTAAGAAGGCTCCACACAGGGGGTCACATAAGCGACCGTGACCTAGAACAGCTTCGACCAGTCGGCACACATATTCCTCGACTATATGGCCTACCTAAAATCCATAAGGAAGGCCTGCCAGTCCGTCCTATTTTGGACATGCGAAACTCTCCGTATCGTGCGATAGCAAAGTGGCTAGCAGAGAAACTCAAACCCGTACAGCGGTAGCTAGCACCACGCAGCTACCGAGATACCTTTGAATTCATTGACGACATCAAAGACCTTAACGTCAACGATATGGTGATGTTCTCGCTAGACGTCTGATCGCTTTTTACAAACGTTCCGGTCACCGAGACAGTTGGCTACCTCTGTGATTTTCTCTCTGCCAGCCAGCAGGAAATAGGGATTCCGACGAATACACTCAAGGAGCTATTACTAAGATGCACATTAAATGTGCAGTTCCTGTTCGACAACCAACTCTATAGACAAGTAGACGGCGTTAAGAGAAGGCTACGCCTTTATCTGAATACTGACTCGATTAAACTTTTATTTTCCTCATCCTTCCCAGACAACTTTTCCTATGACACTGAGAAAGGGCCACCGGGAATTTAGCATGCCGCTATTAAATTTCCGTATCTGTTCACGTTTCTTTATGAGTAGTCTCGCTACCTAAGATCCCTCACCAGAAATGTTAATTATTCTAGTTTTTTAGTTCATGCATCGTGCCCTCACAGAATGCACGCCATCGACGCTCTTGGCGAAACCTTCTGTATTCGCCATATACTAGTAGTTTGGTCGCATCTCCCTTCCCCCATCCTCGGTTGGACTCGGATGAATGTAATCGACCGCATCTGGGTTCCTATCGCCTCGAGACTGGTTGTCATCATGCCCTTACAGAATGCGCTCCATCGGCGATCTTGACAAAGCCTTCTGTATTCGCCATATACTAGTAGTTTGGTCGCATCTCCCTTCCCCCCATGTTCGGATGGACTCGGTTGAATGAAACCGACCGCATCTGGGTTCTTGTCGCCTCGAGACTGGTTGTCATCATGCCCTTACAGAATGCGCTCCATCGGCGGTCTTGTCAAAGCCTTCTATATTCGCCATATACTAGTAGTCTGGTCGCATCTCCCCCCATGTTCGGATGGACTCGGTTGAATGAAACTGACCGCATCTGGGTTCCTATCGGCTTGAGACTGGTTTTCAATTTCGGCACTTATTTTTCTTATTCAAGGCGATACAGGCCAGTCCTGACCGACCCGCCTACGTACCATTTTATGAAATCCGTTACACAATGCCATATACAGCTGACATCTATTTCGGCCATGTTGATGTCGGGCTTTATTCCATTTTGTACCGCCACATGCAGGCCAGTCCTCCCTTTTTTTCTGATGCTATTTTTCTGAGGGTTTTTTTTTCTCCTGTTAAATTACTACAATCATTTTTAAATCTTGCTTTGGAGTTTTTTTTTCACCCCTCGATTTTTTTTCATTTTCATTTTGCTCAACGGATTTCTAATCTCAAAAACTATGCATTGCACTTTGTGCAGATTTTGCCTACATCGTCTTAAATTTGCATGTAAATTTACTTTTACTTGCTTTGATGGGACCCCGACGGGTCTTTAATAAAATAATTGAATTGAATTGAATTGAATTGAGTTGCTATGGGCTCACCCCTTGGACCTCTCCTAGCCGATGTCTTCATGGGAAAATTGGAGAGATTCCAACTAAGCGAACAGATCGACAAGCTTAAACATTACGGTCGCTATGTTGACGATATCTTTGCCATTGCCACTGCAGAAACCGATGTAGCAACCCTCTTAGATGCGGCAAATCAGGCACATCCGTCGATCAAATTCACGCTGGAGATGGAAACGGCCGGTTCGCTCCCTTTCGTGGATGTTCTTCTAAGCAGGAGACCTGACGGGAGTGTCCGAAGAAGCGTCTATCGGAAGAAAACCTGGTCTGGACAATACACGAACTTCGCCAGTTTCGTACCACTCCAACAAAAACGAAATCTAGTCCGATGTTTGGCACAAAGGGCTAGAAAAATTTGCTCAACAGATAGCATCGAGGAGAAGCTCAGAAAAATCCAGGACTTCCTTCGCGAGAACGGATATCCTGAAAGGTTTATTGAAAAGAATATTGCTGAACGACCGATCAAACCCGCCACACCGACCGCCGAAAAGAAGACTTTGTTCCTCAAGGTCCCTTTCCAAGGGGACGCCGTGAGTGAAGTCCTAGGGAGGCGCCTTGATCAAGCTGTCTCGCGAACCTTCCCAGCAGCAAGAGTTCAAATAGCATTCTCCACTAACCCGATTTTACGCGGAGAAGGTAAGGATAAGTTGCCACCGCAGACCACCTCAATGTGCATATATTCCTTCACTTGCTCCTGTGCAGCAGGTTATATTGGTCGCACGAGTCGGCGCTTATCCAAGAGAATACGCGAACACCTTCCCGCATGGCTGCCAAAAGGTGAAATTAGGAGAATAGACAGGGCCATTCTCGCGCATGTTGTCGATTCCGGACATCGTGTGGACCCCAACGAAGCTTTTCGTGTAATTTATAAAGTCCCATCGAGCTACCCCAAGCTACTAGGCCAGCGTCTGTTAGCGACAGCGGAAGCAGTCGCCATTAGGCTACGAAAGCCAATCTTGTGCGCGCAGAAGAACCAGGTTCAGGCTCCGCGCCTACAGTGGTCGAAGGTCGACTAACGCTGCTACACTTCGCGCCCTTCCGCTCTCACCCCGCCCCTGACAATGACTGCCATTACCCACCCCAACCCCCCCCCACATTCCTACACCCCGCCCGTGTTTTAAGTAGAACTTTTATCGATTTTTCTTATCGCTGACGTGTTTTTCTTCTACCCCGTTCTCATATAACTGTACTGGCCCGACGAGAATTTATCGAAAGCTACGTATGCTCGCCACCTCGTCTTCTGATTACTGCTATGGGAAACTCTATTAATTTATTGTTGCTTACCACTAGCCTTTTCAAAAAAGAGCAGCACAGTTCGTACTTGTCTAACTTACGATTGCGTAGATAATGACATAATAAATAACTATATTAAATCGTTGCATTGGTGTGGTTTTCTTTCCTGTAGTAATTTAACCATTCTTCATGAGGTCCTGTCCAATGTTTCCATGCACATCATAGAGTTTTTGCCAGGTAGAAATCTCAAGTCTAATTCTGCGGATTCCTTTGTTCCTCATTTTCTTCGCAGAAGGCTAAAAAGTTGAGACGGCAGTTGCGTGACCTATCCACTAGTTCTTTGTCGGTTCATCTTAGAATCACGGAGATTTTTGAAATGGCTTCAAGGATGCGCTAAGCTCGCGACAAGCAAAGAGAATCAATTGCTTTCAGCGAAGCGAACCTTGGCAAATCCGTCGCCAACATCTCCCGTCATCGGCCCTCCTCTAAGCGTGGTCATGAACTTCAATCCCTCCTAAACGATAACAAAATCTTCCTCATCGAGGACACGGAGAAGACAGAATCGTTAAGTGCTTTCTTTCCAAAACACCTTACTACTGAGTCCGAACCAGTCCCCTTCTTTCGTTTACCTTGAGATAGGATATTGAGTACAATCGATGTCTCCTCAGATCTAATTAGATAGATAATTTTTATTAAAGACCCGTCGGGGTCTCATCAAAGCAAGTTAAAATAAATTTACATGTGAGTTTTAGACGAGGTAGGCAGAATCTTTACGAAATGTAATTCATAGTTTCTGAATAAGTAGTCCATTGAAAAACATGGTTAGTGAGGGGTGAAAAAAGGACTCTATACAAAAAGTTAAAGATGATCTGACTGATTCTACAGGAGAAGACAACCCCTCAATAAAAATGATGACAGGAAAAAGCAACCCGGACTAGCCTGTAGGCGGTGGTATATAACGGATTGTTATCGGTCATCGTCAGGGTTTCAATTGATGGAACACATAGGTCGTTTGACATACTCACACCGCTCGGCGAAGGACGGGATTACAAATTCGATTATTAAACAGGGGTCCAATCTTCCCGTATTGTTAAGTCATTTATTCTCGGTTTATATTTCAAAAGGATTCTTTCCCTAAACATGGAAAACGTCAATTATCATCCCTGTCAAGTCTAGATCTCAGTCCGATGTTATTAGCCATCGGGGTGTGCAGAAAACACGGTCTCTAGAAAAACGTCTTGAGCGATAATTTTCAATAAAATTCTTGACTGCTGTCTACCAAATCGGCTTCTGAGCTCTTATCGGCATAGGTTTTTAGCTAAACGATCTCGCGAAACTTGCCACTAGGCATTTCTTAGTCTGATCACTTCTCATCGTATTGAGAAGCAGTCAGTGGTAGTAAGCAACTTTGATCATAGCAAAAACTTTGATAAGGTGCCAAACAGACGTCTTTTGATAAAATCGGAAGCTCTCGGCATCCGGCGTCCTCCGTTCGACTTCATCAGGTCGAACCTATCCAACCGATATTAGAAAGTCGTGGTTGTTAGTAGCTACTCGACATCTCACTCGATCACGTGTGTCGTACTTCAAGACACGGTTCTGTGTCCACTAATCTTCCTTCTTTACATCAATGGCATTTCGATTGAACGTAGAAATCGTAAACTTTTATTCATTCTGATGACCTTAAGTGTGTTTTGCTCATATTCTGAGGACAATTCGAGTGCTTTTGTTGAAAAAATTGATGCCAATTCGCTACGCTTAAGCAGACGGAGTTCAACATGCAGATGACGTTTTCATCATTCAAGTGTAGTTTCATGCAATTCGGTCCTGCCCAAACTCCTGGGTCCATAATTTTTCAGAATAATCTGCTCTCACAACGCTTCACACTAAATTACCTAGGTTTAAGTTATACAAGCAAACTTGCCTTGTCACGTCATCCAGATAGAATCTCTGCCGAAGCCGCGCAGACATGTGGATTCATGTCGCACAATGTTTCCGTCTGGAAATGAAGTAAAGACTTTACCAAATGTTTGTTCTCCCTGTCCTCGGATACTACTGTGCTTCCTTTGGTTGAGTGAACGCCTGTGATCGTAATAAAATCGAAAATATTGAGAGGGTTTTTACTCGGAAACTTTTCACTCAAGTCTCATTCAGTACTTCTCATACACAGAGTTGTAAACTAGCAACCAAAAGGATTTGTTGAAAAAGAATACTCGAAGTTGGCTTTTGCCTCCTTTTTAGTATTAACTCAAAGTCTAATCTTCTGCTCATTGACACGCTCACTCCGAGAAATCGGTCTTATGCCACACTCAATCCTTCTATTGTGATTCCGCATCCTCTTTGCACTACATCTAAGCGCTCCCTCTTTTTGCTTCCAAATCTGCCTTCTTTTGGAATAATTTTCCGCCATAATTTTGGTAATCGCCTAGGCTATCGATATTCACTCCGCTTCCGACCATCCAGGCACTGACTGGGGCCGTCCTAGAAACTATACCTTTCGCTCTGTGGGATGTGACTGTTGCGATTCGGCGTTTTCGTCAATCTTATAGTCCAGGACCTGATGGTGTCCCAGTAAGCATTTAA